TGAATGGCAAATGAGTTGGATTACATGTTATATATACGGAACAACTAGAATCAGCTACTCACTTCGATTGACCCAGGACACCGCTAAACGATTGCGACTGACTGAGGCCGTATTTCGAGAAATTAAGAGTCGGCGTAGCTGGATTGTTGCGTCCCAGGAACGAGGTGGTGTTCACCTTTGAAGTGGCTGCCAAAGGAATATGGAAAAAGGAAAGGTTTTCAGCAAGAGATTCAGATTGAGAGTGTGTATAGAAGGTCACCTACCACCCGTCAGTTTGGTGGAGCTGAAGCTGTGCAAGGTGCTGCTGCCCGGGGTGGTTCGATTGCCCTGCAATGTCTGGCTGAGCAGCTCCTGCTGTTGTTGGCTAACATGGTTCACCTCCTCGGCGGTCACCTTGCGCAGCCGGGCAACAAAGTGCTTGAAGAACTTTGCATCGTACAGCAGCACCAGATCGGAATCCTCGGCCGTGAAGACAATGCTGTATTCGGGTTCGGTTATGTAGCCCGTTGAATTGGTCGCCGTCTTGTGCACCACTGGGCAGGCTTCGTGCAGGGGATGCGACATAGAGAAGAGACGTGGCATTGGTATGGACAAATGGGAGACGAGCGCATTGCTCGAGTCCTTTTCCAGCAACAGGCCGTGTGTCGTTTGCCACACATGTGAGATGGGAAAGTCGAGATTGGCCAGAAAGTCATCACCATCATCGCAGTAGACGCGCAACGCATCCTGGTCCATCACACAAATGGCTGTCAGCTTGTCCTCCGGCTGGACGGCGGCGCGCAACTGAGCCAAGCGACCGCGCACGAAGCTACGATTCAGGAAGCAGGCGAACTTCACTGGTGTGTCACAGGTGAAGCACATGCGACGCTGCACACCATCGTCATCATCGTTCAGGCCCTGCGTCCATATGACCGTATTCTTGTTAACATACAGCTCCTCCTCGTTGTTCACAATGTAGTCGCACATGGGGTCTTCGCGACGGAGCTTGATGGGCTCCAGCAGCTGCTGTGGCAGCGATGTCAATTGCGTGGCCGCCGCCGCCTTGGGCCCACACTTCTTCGTTTGCTCGATTAGTTGCTGACGACGCTGTGCGCGCTCATAGCTGGTCTCGTAGTCATCATAGATTTCGCGAATGCACCAGAACTCTTGCGGCTCTTCGGCGGCGGCTGAGATATTAACATTTTGTAATCGCTGCAGTAGCAAATGCTCAGCAGGCAAATATTTGGGCAATGGCGGTTCGGTGGGTCCTGGATGATCCTCTGCCGCCTGACGACCGCGAGGAATGAACTCCTGGGGCGGCTCTGCGACGGCAATCATCTCATTGCATGCATCCAGATTTGCGGGTTTCTTTCTTGGACAAACAGTCGCACACTTCACACAGAATTACTATTCAATCGAAAATGTTTCATATACAATAAGGAACTTCAACCAAAATGCCGGCTCAGATGTCGTCGCGCCGGCAAATTTGTATTAGCAATATTATCGCTATCGAAACTGCATGTGACATCAATAATGATATCGATGAACCAGAGCTCTTGGATATTGTGGTAAACATTAATTTTCGTTTAAGAACGATTGTCTAAGTCGACGTAAAAACTTCTTTTCAATTAGTTTTTTTTTTTTTTTTTTCTTATTACAATTTTTCCATCTCAGAAAATTTGAAATTGAACATATTGAACATTGACATATTAATTGAATTAAATATTAAATATATAAACAATAAAAGTGACATACAAAATGCATGCAAATAAAAAGATAACAAAACTAACCGCCAAAATAAAAAATACTAAAATCGAAGCACACTATCGATTCTGCACAGCTGTTTTATGCAAATCGCGTAAAGTACTCGACAAGTAATCGTGTGGTGGTATCGAGGTTGCACGATTTATTGAAATCATGCCGCGAGCTGTTGACGAGACAGCTTTAAATTGCAAATATTTAATTGGAATATGTAATTAAGCAAGGCTTCATCGCTGGAAATGGAGTTCTCGTAAATAACCATTAAGCAATTAGATCAGATTCATTTGAATTGTCTTTATATTTCAGTTGCAATATTTGACACGACCACGATATTGAAGATGAAAGATGTCATTGTCTATCGAGATATCGATATAAGGCAGCAATTTCATTAATAAATGTATGTTGCTGTTATCTGTGGGTGGCGCTGGTTGTATCCAACAGAAAAATGGCGGACAAACGAAAATACAAGAGATCTGTAAATAAATAACACAAACATGAATCATATGTAAGCACTCATATTTTAACCTATATTCATATCTGTCACTAGAAAGAAGAAATCGCCCGTGAATTTGATCTGCCTGAGCGTAAGTCCAAGATCGCAACAATCCTCAAACAAGATGACCAGGCCTACTGCATATGTCGCACATCGGATTGCTCTAGGTTCATGATGTAAGTAACTAATAATTCCTGTCAAACAATTTCGACTGTCAATTTCAATCTGTTTGTAGTGGCTGCGATGGGTGCGAGGAATGGTATCACGGCGACTGCATTGGAATCACTGAAAAGGAGGCAAAGCATATCAAGCAATATTACTGCAGACGATGCAAGAAAGAGAATCCTGACTTGCAGACAATATTTCGGTTGGTTGCCACAGAACGCGCGGCGGCCACTGCATCTACATCTACCAGCGGGCAGAATTGTAGCACCTCAAATCTGTGTGGTGGCGGCAATGCGGCAGGTACCAGCGGCAATGCAGCTGCAGCTACTTCGACTGGTGGTCGCAAAAACAATAACGCGGCCAAGGAAACGAAGGCTGTCCGAAGGTGTGGCACTTGCGAAGGTTGCCGGCGACCCAATTGCAATCAGTGCGATGCCTGTCGCACACGGGTTGGCCACAAGCCGCGTTGCATTTACCGCAACTGCGTAATACAGTCGGCGCAGCAAGCCAATCCACCGGCAACAACGACCGGACGGAAGCGTGAGAAGAACAATGCCGTACAGCAGCAGCAGCAGCGAAAAAACAAAGTTGTCCGCTCTGACAGTCCGGAGATCTTTGTGCATCCAGAGCTGGAGGGAGTGCGTCAGTGTCATGGACCCGGTTGCCGTTGCCAGGCTCGACCACAAAGTAAATACTGCAGCGACAAGTGCGGCTTCAATCTCGCCACGAATCGTATATTCCAGGTTTTGCCGCAACGATTACAGGAGTGGAATTTAACGCCATGCCATGCGGCTGAAGAGAATCGGGAGCAGCTCGAGGTGATACGACAGAAGCAATCAATGGTGCGTTTCGCTCTAGCCGAGCTGGAGAAGCGAGCCGAGGAGCTGAACATGGTGGTGGATCGGGCCAAACGCAGTTCCATAGACACGCTACGGCCGCAGGACAATGGCGACGTCGAGGATGAACAGAGTATGTACTGCATCACATGCGGCCACGAGATACATTCCCGCACCGCCATCAAGCACATGGAAAAGTGCTTCAACAAATATGAATCGCAGGCAAGTTTTGGCAGTATCTTCCAGACCCGAATGGAGGGCAACAATATGTTCTGTGACTTTTACAATCCGGCAAGCAAAACGTATTGCAAACGATTGCGCGTTTTATGCCCGGAGCACAGCAAGGATCCCAAGGTCAATGATACGGATGTATGCGGTGCGCCGCTCGTTAGCAACGTGTTCAATCCCACGGGTGAATTCTGTCGTGCGCCCAAAAAGAATTGCTTCAAACACTATGCCTGGGAGAAGATACGCAGGGCCGAAATCGATTTGGAGCGCGTCCGTCAATGGCTGAAAATGGATGACCTAATGGAGCAGGAACGTCTATTGCGCCAACAGCTCAGCTCGCGGGCCAATTTACTGGGCCTCATGCTGCACTCCACCTACAATCACGAGGTCATGGACGAGCTAGTGCGCAAGCAGCAGGAGCATTTTATTGAACTTGAGAAACAGAAGCGGCGACAGGTGCACTACCAGCAGGTGCATCCGCAACAACATCATTTCCAGCTGCTGCATCATAAGCTACAACTACAACAGCAGCAGCAACAATCACAGCAGCCGATGACGCTGCAACAACAGCATAAGCTACTACAAATTCAGCAGCAACAACAAAAGCTGCTACAAATTCAGCAACAACAGCAGCAACTGCAATTGTTTATGCAGCAGCAAGCGCAGCAGCAGGCGCAGCAGCAAGCGCTGCAGCAAGCGCAGCAGCAAGCGCTGCAGAAAACGCAGCTTCAGTGACAAAAAGACAAAGATCTGCAATCGAAAAAGAAAAGTAAAAGCAAGAGCAAATGCAAAAGCAAAAGTAAATGCAAAATGGAAATGAATCCAACAAATTCAGCATCAGCTGATTGATATACATATTTTTTATATACATAACTTTACACATACATACACGCATATATACATATAATGCAAGCTAAGATATTTTTTTAAACATACAAACAAACATGCATGCATATGTCGTCTCAATTGTTAGCAGACAAACATATGCCATTAAGTAAACACAGAAAACAACACCGACATGCACTCGATCACCATGGATATTGAGTATAGATAAATATATATATAAATATATACATATGTATATGTAAATGTATATACTTGATATTTAATAATAAGTCTTGTGTGCAAACGTTACCAGCAGCAACCCGATCAAGAAATTTCGACGCCGGCTGCTATCATCATACATTTATCGCCCTCCCCCTCGCTCTTTTTTATTTTACTTGCTTTCGCTCTCTTTCACCTTTACCAGGTAGAGGTTGCCAGGAGCCTTTCCCACTATTGTTTGTTATTGAAAACTAAGCATAAAAATATTTATTGATAGCAACATGTCTGCAGGTATCAATAAGCAAGCTGAAATGGTTTACATCATTCACAATTGCAGTTTCTCGTTCTAATCTATGTTCAGTCCTAGGAAATTAATGAAAATGACAAATTTAATTAAAGCAAATTTACAAATACTCGAAAAAAAATTTTAAAAACTATACAAAATAAAAATATATATATATATAAAATGTAATTATTTGTTATTGTTATTATGCCATATGTGAATATGCTCGGCATGTGAATGATAGGCATGATAGAAAGAACGGTACTATAACCATAACCACGAAACGGTTAATAGTAACAAGTGCGGAAAAGGACTACGTATGTGTGTGTGTGTGTGTGCTTAAGTGTGTAAGTGTGTATGCATGCATATATTGTTGGCTCGCATATCGAGGTAGACGTTGACAGAATCAAACCGGAGACAGTGTGAAAACTTAGTAGTCCGGGCACTAGTTGTGTTGACCTTTAGAAATGTCGTAGCCATTTGGCATCTATATTTTGTATACCTTCCACACAACTCGACAATAAAAAACACACAATTTTGTATTATAATTTTGATCTTATTTTCCAAAAATCACCGCGAGTTATTCGAGACGGTATTATCCCTATATATATATTTATATATATATATATATATGTGTGTATAATTATATATATATATATAAATATATATATATATATATATATGTATATGTCGATATGTATATATAAATATATATATGTATATGCATGTGTAAACATACTTAAGTGCAATACTCAAATTGAACAGCGTGATTCCGATAAGTTCAGCGGATTCGCAAGTGGAAAACGTTCAAATTATAAAGTCGCAGGAGCAGTTAAAACAAAACATATTACATTTGATTTGGTTCAAGAAGCCCAGAAACAATTTATTTGAATAGATGGCGGTTTCCGAATAACGGTTCACGAATTAGCGGACAACTGGAACTGATCACTCATTCAATAAATCAACCAATCAATCAAACAAACAAACATCGATCCACCCATCGATAAACCACTGCAATTTTTTTTTGCCATCACTTACTACGTTTTCTCATATACGTTGTTCACAACACATCTAGAGGTGGGTGCGTGCGTTTCTCTATCAACTAAATCTAACGTCTTTTTAAATATTCCATCATCGTTGTTTTCCTTCCACAGTTGCATTTGGATTCAACACTCGTTCTAATACCCAATATTAATCATTTGTGATTTCATTTAAACATATCTACATATACATATATACACTTTTTTTTGCTTCTGTGTGTGTGTGTATATATATATATATATATACATATAGCGTGTGCAAATTGTAAGTTGATGTTGTCAGTACTGCAATAGCCGCTCATAGTTCGATTGCCAACGAGTCGCCACAGCTTGGCTCGGCCAAGTGGAACATTTAGGGGCCTCCAGCTCCGGGTCTAGCTCCCATCCATCCATCAATTCATCCATTCATCGGCAGGTAAGTGACATGCATGGCGCCAACTCCATTGGTAGCTGTGCCAAAAAAAAAAAAAAAAAAAAAAATCATAATTTATTTTTCTAGCTCTACACTGCACTTTGTATTTTTCTGTTAGAATCGAAACTCTATTAATATTTAAATTACTAAATCCACTCTCATTAGGAATTAAAGTATTTTTAGTGATCTGATTTGAATTGAAAATCATTTTACGGCAGTTCCCTTTATAAGGCCATATCATATTCTTATCTTATCTCATTATCTTGAGGGATTTAAAATAATTAAGAATTTATTTCCTGGTATATTTAGAATCTGCTAAAATTAAATAGCCCGACTTTATGAGAGACAAACCTTAATAATAGTAAATTGAGAAAATTGAACTGAAAATAAATAAAATAGGTTTTTAAACTCTTGATCTGGTTGAATATACTAAATGATTGATCATTGCTTATACTTGATTGAATAAGAATCAAATTGATTGAATATATTTGTTTCTATTAGGCGATTGAATATATATTATAGTAATATAATGGAATTCTGGATTGAATATAAGTTCTTATTGATTATTTTGATTATGATCTTATGACTATGATTGATTATTACGATTTGTTGAAGGTGCATATATAAATATGAAAAAATTCAATAATGAGAACATTACATCGTGATTGATGATGACGATTGATTATTTAAAATATATGATAATTCAATTGGGTGATGAATTTATATATATATATATATATATATATATATATATATATATATATATATATATATATATATATATATATATATATATATATATATATATATATATGTATATATATTTAAGACTATATTGAATCACTGCTAGCTGTAATAATTTGTGAAACTATTTATATTTCAATTTCTATAACGGTTCTCGCTGAATGTCAGATTCGTTCCCAATTGAAAGTGATATTTAATTTGGATCAGTGTAGACTTGAAGTACACACATTTAAGTAGATGGGGGTATAAGGGCTCTCGTATATATTTATTGTTAAACAAAATCATTTTGCTCCATATTCGATTGCATGCACGATTCGATGGCATTTGAGGCGTTGTTTGATTGTTTTTTGTGGGACTGGCATTTGCTGGCAATTGCAACAACAATGACAACGACAACGACAACGACAACAATAATAACAAAAACATATGACGTTGCCCTGGGCACTTGAGGGTCCTGGTTCCATTTGTCCATTTGTTGGCATTGCTAGGCCAAATTGTTTGCCCTGTTGTTGTTGCTGTGTTGTTGTGTTGCTGTTGTCGCCCACTTTCGCTTTTCGATCGATCTAACAATAATTTCGTTTCAATCAAAATTGCCTTATGATGATTCCATGTTCTTGTTGTTGCTGTTGTTGTTGTTGTTGTTATTGTTGCATTTTTAACATACATACCTGGGGCATATGAAGGCGACGATAGACTCTTACAATGCGAACACAAAGCCATCAGCAGCAACATTCACACGCGACAGCAACAGCAACAGCAACAGCAACAGCAACAGCAGCAACAACTTAACACCATGCACTCAAGCACTCAACCACTCAGCCACTCAGCCACTCAACCACTCAAGCACCCACTTGCACCCACAGCCGCCATAGAAAGTGCTGAAGTGCTTGCCACAAACTGGCGCCCGCACAGGACGAAGCCGACCGGCGGCACGTCGCACAAAAAGTTGGCGGATCCGTTGATAATATTGCAATTCCAGAGCTGGAGGTGGATAAGCGGAAATACCGCCGTCGGCATCGAAAACTAGCGGAGCAACAAGAACACTTACAACAACAACTACGACTGGCACAACAACAACAACAACAGCAACAGCAGCAGCAAAAACACCAGCTGCAGCCAGATCAACCACAACCACAGCAACCACAGCAACCACAGCAACCACTGCAGCCAGTGCCATCAGTGGAACCACAGCAGGTAGTAGATAAACCGCGGGAGGCGCATCAATACCACGCTCAACACATGCGGATACGGAAGACCGAATCACTGCCCAGGCCTGTTTACAAGGATAGAGAGCGGCATAAGGACCGGAACAGGGAAAAGGATAAGGAGAAGGATAAGCAGAAAGAGAAGCATAAGGATAAGGAGAGGGACAGGCAAATGGCCGAACGGCTAGCGAATGCTCAGGAGCGACGCATACATGAGCTTGATAAGAATGTGGAGCGCTTTTTTGAAGTGCGCAAGGTAGGCTAACTTTGTTATCGCTAATCGTCTATCGTTTATCATTTATCGCTGATTACTTATCGATATATGTATGCTGTGCGTGTGCAGCGTCTGGGCAAGGGCGCCTACGGCATTGTGTGGAAGGCCACGGACAGGCGACAAAAGGACACCGTGGCACTCAAGAAGATCTATGACGCCTTCCGGGATGAAACCGATGCACAGCGCACCTATCGCGAGGTCGTCTTCCTGCGCGCCTTTCGGCATCATCCGAACATCATTCGGATGCTGGACATCTTCAAGTAGGCGTCAGAGGTTTCTCATCATTTCTACTGATGCTCCTTAAGTTTCTTCATTGCAGAGCTGCAAACAATCTGGACTTCTATTTGGTCTTCGAGTTCATGGACAGCGATCTGCACAATGTCATCAAAAAGGGCGACGTCCTCAAGGACATACACAAGCGCTTCGTCATGTATCAGCTGATCAATGCGATCAAGTATATGCACTCCGGTAATGTCATCCACAGGGATCTAAAGCCAAGCAACATTCTGATCGATAGCAAGTGCAGGTAGGTCTATTTGTCATGGCCATTATCATTATCATTGTCTTGTCATTGTCATTGTCATTGTCATTGTCATTGTCATTGTCATTGTAATTGTCATTGTCATTGTCATTGTCATTGTCATTGTCATTGTCATTGTCATTGTCATTGTCATTGTCATTGTCATTGTCATTGTCATTGTCATTGTCATTGTCATTGTCATTGTCATTGTCATTGTCATTGTCATTGTCATTGTCATTGTCATTGTCATTGTCATTGTCATTGTCATTGTCATTGTCATTGTCATTGTCATTGTCATTGTCATTGTCATTGTCATTGTCATTGTCATTGTCATTGTCATTGTCATTGTCATTGTCATTGTCATTGTCATTGCCACTATATTTATTGTATACATATATTCCCATAGGCTTAAGGTAGCCGACTTTGGTCTGGCGCGCACTCTGTGCACGAAGCGGCGAAGCAACGCGGATTTGGACTGCAAGGATGAGCTCGATAACGAGGCGATGCTGACAGATTATGTGGCGACCCGTTGGTATCGGGCACCCGAAATACTGGTGGCCAGTCGCAAGTAAGCGCCAAGTAGAGTAGTCGCAGTTGGTTTGAGTCTTATTTGGATTATTAATGTGTGCATTAGGTATACGAAGGGCATTGATATGTGGAGTCTGGGCTGCATACTGGGCGAGATGATACGCCAGAAGCCGCTCTTCCAAGGCACCAGCACCATCAATCAGATTGAGAAGATAGTGAATGCGCTGCCGGAGGTGACGGATCGCGATATCGAATCCATCGGAGCTAGCTTCGGGTCGGTGCTGCTCAGCAAGAAGATCGTGCGGGACCGGCGGTACTCCCTGGACGAGATACTGCGCAATTGCTGTGACGATGCATTGTCGCTGGTAAAGTCACTGCTGGTGCTCGATCCGGAAGGGCGGCTAACCGCCAAGGAGGCCATCGCCCACTCCTATGTGCATCGCTTTCGCACCTCCTCGGCGAACATGGAGCTGCGTGCCGACATCAGGCCGCCGTTGGACGACGATACGCGGTACGGCGTCGATGAGTACCGTACCACCCTCTACGAAATGATTGCGCCCGAGCTGCGATCTAGTGAGGGGCACTCGTCCACTACACCAGTGATCTCAACGGTTAGCTCCGATCAGCCGTCGAGCCAGACGCCGAGCGGTGCGCGATCTGAATCGAAATCTAGGTGAGTTCATCCCCCTCCCCCCCCATCTTGTTTTCTTGTGGTGTGGCTTGGGTGGTGCGAAGCATGGGCGGTGCGAGTGCTTGGAGTATGCTGATCTAGCTGCTCGCTCGATTGCTTCATTTTGCAGGTGTCGTCGCTCATAGCATAGACGTTCGTCGTCATCCACAGCGACGACGGCGTTCAGCACAGCAGCAGCAGCAGCAGCAGCAACGACAACAGCTACAACAACTAAGACAAAGCCAACAACATCAACGACCACAACAAGCTGTAGGCAACAGCGTGCGGGTCTATCAAAAAGTGGACGAGAAACATCCTCATCCATATCCACATCCACATCTTCGTGCACTTCCATTTCAACTCCAGCATCGCATTTAACGAGCTTACAGCAACAGCGACAACAACAACAACAACGACAACAACAGCGACATTATTCGCGTTCAGCTCAGCGTCAAGCGACCTATCCTTAGATCCATTCCTAAGGCATTCCCATTTAGACTAGGCCTTCACTATATCTTGAGCAACTGTTTTAATACTCGTTTACGATGTGGAAGCGGGTTAGATTGGGTTTATTCATGACTCTATCCTTGTCTGTCCTATTAAACTGACGCGATCTGAAATTATACATACATATAGCCGTATAATGACATTAGCCTTCATAGGCAGGGTCTGTGCACAAAGCCGTAATGTAAATGGGAATTCCGCGTATACAAATTTATACATTTGCATACGATCGACAGAAGGAGGCGTGGTAGACTCTATACAGTATATACATATATCCCTGATCGAAACGACGAACTGAGTTGATCCAGCTATGTCTGTCTGTCCGTCCATTTGTCTGTTCGTCCGGCGGTCAAGTCCATAAAATGCTTGGAGTCATGTCTCTATACAGGGTTCAAAGAGAGCTCTAACTTATATCACTAACTTATATCTCTGGTCAGTGCTTATATGCATCTAAGATAGTTTGTTTTAAAATTGTGAACGAGTATTATAAACAACCGATTTTTTTTCGTATATTTAAGAGAATCTATTGTTAAATTAAATAAAATAAATATAGTGTTTGTGCTTCGCTATAAAAACTGGGGTAACCTGACTAGACTCGTCCTTGAAACAGAAGTAGATGTAATCAGGCTTAAGAATATAAACTTAGATTATGTAGATTTAGTTGAGATTATCTATAGATGCGAATGCTATCAAAGTTGTTATATTTCAATATATAGATTAGTTAGGTATTAGGTAAAGTCAGGCATTGGGATTGGTCCTTTGAATAATATATTTTTATATGATAGATAGTCTTAGGTATACTTGACGATACTTACAGAAATCTACTCGAGCCCAATTGCACCTGAAGCACACACCAAGGCTACGTCTTACGTTAATTACACTTCCCAAATCCACTTCACCTCTTCACTTTTCCCCCACTCGCCTTAGGCAATCCGCAAGCAGTTCCCAGGCCACCGTACAAACGGATCCGCCCGGACAGCCGATTTCCACATTGACCAAGGCCTGGGTGGAGGAGCAACGGAAGCAGCAACATTTCCAGACACATCCACACCAACACACGCACACGCACCCGCACCCGCACGCTCAACAGCACCCGCATTCGCATCCGCAGCAGCAGCAACAGCAACAGCAACAGCAGCAGCAGCAACAGCAGCAACAGCAGCAGCAGCAGCAACAACAGCAGCAGCAACAGATGACACAGCAACAACTGCAGAAATGGCAACGGCAACGGCAACGGCAGCTGCAACAGGAACGGATACAGCAACATCAGCTACGGGTACAGCAACAGCTACAGGAGCAAGAGCGACGGGATAAAATTTACGAAGAGCAAATGGTAAAAGTGCGCCACCTGCAGGAGCAGCAGCAGCGGATAGAGTATCGGTTAGCTCAGCAGGAGTTGAGGCGGATAGAGCAGCTTTTAGAAAGGGATCATCAGGAGAAATTGAAAAAGAAGCAGCAACCACAGCAACAGCAGGAGCTGCAACAGCAACAACAGCAGCAGGAGCAACAAAAACAGCAACAACAACAGCAGCAACAGCAGGAGCAGCAACAACAGCAGCAGGAGCAACAGCAACAGCAACACGGGAGCAAACGCTGTCCAAGTGACGCCAGGTATATACGTCGTCCAGGGGAATCAGCTCACATGGCCTTGCGTCGAGAACTGGCAGCTGCTGCAGCAGCGGCAGCCACAGCCACAGCCACAGCACCAGCCATAGCCACAGCCTCAGTGGCTGCCACAGCTCCGCGCTGCATAGGTGGCATTTGGCGGACGCCAGTGACGAGTCAATCGGGCACGGTAGTGCCACCGCTGCATCTGTGGGAGGAGTCGCCGCCCACGGCGGCAGAAATCGAGGTGGTCGGTGAGGGGCTGTGCTCCACGGCTCAGCTGAGGGCGAGAGTGAGGAAATTGCGCCGCGAATGCAAGGAGAGGCGCATGGCCAGGACCAAAGCCGACGAACAGCACCGGCGATCAACTCCGGCCGAGTCGGTTAATAAATATAAGGAGCACATATCGCGCCCCCGCCAGGCGAGCCCATCAGGCTTGGCCAAGTCGCGAGCTGAGGCTATCAAGCAGCAGTTGAAGGAGTACACTCAAACAAAAAACGCTGACCGGCAGCATTCCAAGGCCTTGCGTTTCGATCCGGCTCACGGGCATGCGCCAGCTCCTCGACGCTCGTCGTCGAATAGTTCCGATTCATCGCGAACGGTGCAAGCGTTTCCGCCGGCTCAGTCCGATGCTGCGGCCAGCCAGACCCCCTCTGCGGAGGAGCAACAACGCAAGGATCGGAAATCCGCGGAGCTGACCACAGCCCTGGAGCGAATGCAGCTGGAGCATCGCGAGCTGCAGCAGAAAAAATGTAATATTAACGACGCTGACGGCGGGAATCAGCGCAGTCAGCTGCCGCCAAAGCATCAGATGCGTAAAATGGTCCGGGAGTCCACGGGCAATGGGATGCGCGCCCCACGCCACCAGCGTCGGGTGAATTACTTGAGTCCCGGGAACAGGGCCGATCGCTTCTATACGCCAGAAGGCACCGTCCGGCCGGTGGACAAAGTGGTCCCCATGGACGAGAAGACAGACGATGCGTTGAGGGCGTCGAACGCATCGGCGGCATTCATTTGCTATAAGACGCGGCTGCTCCGGCTGGAGGAGGAGATGGCCAAGTGCAAGCGCCAGCTGTTTCACTACGTCCAGGACAACCAACAGCTTCTGAACAAGCAGGGACTGCGCCATCATATCGAACGCTTGCTGCACTCCCCGCCGTCGGTGATGAGCAACAAGTCCGAAAATACGCCGGTATTGCCGCCGTCGGCCATAAAGAGCACCATCAAAACGCCACAAAGCGACTCCGGCGTCGAGGCGGATCACCCCAAACTCGATCGGGATAAACAGAAGCAGCTGCAACTGCGTGAATTTCTGGCCCGCGACGAGAGCGATGCCAATGCCTACGAGCTGCCCAATCTGTCCAGCGTTTACAAGACGAGCAGCTGCCATGTCCCGCCACTGTCCAACCGCCCCGACACATCCAAGTCCAGTCGTCCTCTCTCCTCAACGTCGACACACACCAAGGACTGCAGGTCATCTTCGCTGGCCCAGCACTCGCACAAGCTGGCACACGCCTACTCCAACTACTTTCCGGTCGGGAGTAGCAAGGGTGGCTACGAGAATGCCTGGCACAAGAGGCACCATGCCCATGGACACAATGCCAAGCGGCATCATTCGCTGGCGCCCAGGTGCGATCGTCTGCGCATTCAGGAGGCCAATTTCCTTGATGGCTACAGTGGATCGCATGCTACCCGTAAATAAGTTCCGGCTATCTAAAATCGAAAAACATAAAAAAAAAAACAAAAAACAACAAAAAGAAACAAACAAAAACCCTACAAAAAAATCTAACAAGGACTGACGAAGGGAGGGGGACTGAGATAGGAAAAAGCTAGAAGGAACGAGACAAAAGGAAAAGAAAGCTTCCTTCTTAATAGGAAGTGGAACAAAGAAGGAAATAAAAGCTTAGGGCGGGACAGATAAACAGGGCGTGGGTGCAATGGACAGAAGCAGGGAATCAGGGCAAAACATTAGGCACACACACACACACACACCCACACCCACCCACCCACACATACACACACACACACACCCATGCACATGCACAAACATATATATATTTATGTTTATATATATATACACACATATATTTATATATGTACACGTATATGTTTATATATTTATGTATATATATACATATGTATATATATATATATATAGTGAATGTACCAAGACTTAGATTCGCTTGAGGTTTGAATTGGGTTTTAACCAAAGAACGAAATCTGGCGTGAGATAGGCGTAGGTAGATATATAGCTAGGGAATCGGACATAGGAAGCAATAGGAATGCTGCATGAGAACTCATGACGTATATATGTATTTTAGATATCAGCTTTGGTCTAGTTCAATACAAAGTACGATTCATGAACATTACATAGATGTATGTATCTAGATCTATATCGAAGTATCAATACGGCCCTAACAAATTCTATATATTCTTATCGATATGCTAAGTTAATCGACAGGTTATGGCTAAAGCTCGAGATTACTTATAAATAATCAGCTGTACGCAGCATAGGATTATGTTTTTTCTCGATAGCTTATTACCAATAGCCTATGATCGATAAAAATCGATATATTGTGAGTTGGTTTTGAGAGCCATAAATAGAGAATATATATACGTACATTTTCAAAAAAATTGCAATATCTGAAGTCTTGACATTGACTATGCAGTCATTTGTAAATATGTATTTCCGATTTAGCCATATCTTTCGTAATATCCATAATCTTTATGCAACAACCAAATTCTTGGCAAATATTTAGAATGTGATTTTCTGGAAAATTTGATCAGAAAAATATCTCTAGAACCATAATTTACCACTCGCCGTGCGCCTCTGTGAGTGTGTGTGATTATGATTTCATGTGTGATTGTATTTGTTGTGCATGACTGTATGCATGTATGTGTGTAAATGATGCAGCTGTATGCATTTATGCAAAAAAAAAAAAAAGGAGCCCTTTTAACAGAGCTGCAGAGAATTGCCAAGTTGATCATGTCCGATCATAGGGCCAAAATGATTATTATATATATATATTTTTTAGTAATTTATTATAGTTTATGATTTTTATGTTTATTTTTATTCTCGACTATCTATATCTTAGAAAGAGATAAGCAAATTTCAGTTTAAAGCAAATTGAATATTTAATGTGGGGGAATTTTTCAGGCCACCCTCGTAAATACATATAATATATAAATTAGAAATTTAAATCAAAATAGAAGTAGTTGAAAATTCTGAATCAAATTGCAATTTCATATCGGGATGACAATTCGGACAAATATTTACGGAACGCCAATTATTATAATTTTGAATTATTTCGAACAATTATATTAAAATAAATTCTTAATTCAGATTCAAGTTGTATAAATTTCTGATTTGAAAAACCATGGATAAGTATTATGTTATATATTTGATTTATTTTGGGAAAAAAAGTTTCTTCACTGAGAGTTTGGGTTTTTAAGCATACATAATATGAATATGCATATAAATATATTTAGTATCAGCAACTATAGAAGTACATTTATTTGATTCGTGTATATGTATGTATATGTAATATCGTTAATCTATTTAGGCAACTGAGCCCAACTGACTATCAAAATTGAACACAATAAAGCTCTAAATAGATTTTAATCTACGCATAAGGAATCGAAAAAATGTATGTTTTTTCTTCTACTATTTATTAATATTTTTATTAACATTTATTCTTAGGTCTCTTGTTTTTGCATATACTTCCCTTTGAAGTTATAGTTTGACGTTGAGCTTAAGCGGTAATAAATACAGTGGAGATAAATGACAAAAATTCTCACTTACAAAGTCGTTAAAGAGGTACAGAGAATGTTCTCTGCTGGTTGCCCCAAGTCCGAGTTTAGCTCTGGATGTTGGCCCTAGTTTAGTGTTAGTTTAGTAAATGTATACTGGAATATTAGCGAGCATAGATTGTGTTCGTAGTATCAAAGATTAATGGATAACAGTTATCCACTTTAGTAATGGGTGTTAGCTATCTATCAGCTTCCAAAAATTTGACGCTGGTGCTGCGAGTTGGAAGACCCCAAACGATTGTATTGCATGTTGAGACGAGGGATCGCGTTAAGGTTGCGATCCGACGTTTAGGTTTTGCGTTTCTGTTCGAACTGCTGCTGCGGCAGCTCCTCCTGCAGCTGCAGTATATGCTCCAGGGGCTGCGGCTTGCCATCCTTGTCGATTAGCGCCGGCTGCACAATACCATCCTTGCGCAGCTGTTCCAGCAAATTGACCAATTGCAGTGCTTCGTACTCCTTCTGCTCCTCGGACATGCCCTCGAGCGGATTGCGCTTGGGCTGCTCCACACAGCCCAGCACGGGATTGAAGGATTGCTGCTGCTGTTTATACTCCTCCGTGTCGCTGTCCTCGCTGTCCGAGGAGTAGTCGGTGCCCTCAATGCGCCGACAGTCGAGCACGCCGCGCTTAGCAAACAGCCCGGCCGCATTGCCATAGCCCGTATATTTGATCATGCGACCGACGTCCTCCTTACAGAGCACAAACAGCAGCTCGGCGGACAGGTCACGCAGGATCATGGCCGGCAGTGTGAGAAACCGGCAGAGATGATTGCGCAGCTCGTTGCCAACCTCTGGCCGCTTGCTCACATCCTTTAGCGGCGGCAGGATCTCCTTGCGCAAATAGTGGCGCATGGTGCGATTGCTGCGAGCACACTTCACCAGCACCGTCAGCACTGGCGACAGCAGCTCATGGGAACTGGCCTCGGACTCCTGCTGGGCGAGTCCGCCGCGCAGATAATCCAACAGCACGGCCAGGCTGCGCACGTTGCGCTTCTCGAAGCAGACGGCACAGCATTTCGCATTGACACTGACTGCTTCGTTCTCTGTCCCCGTTTCGGCATTGCTGCACTTGACCAGCAGCTCGCTCAAGCAGCTGCCAGAGATGTTGGTCAGCAGATTGATGGCATGCGTGACCACAGCTCGCTCCCGTTCCGTAGAGAGATTGCCAAAGCGCAATAGTAGCTCGCGCAGAACGCCGGTCAAGTGAAGACTTTGAATCTCATACTCGTTGGGACTCTTGTCCGGTGCACTGGTCACGGTGAACATGACCTTGAGCAGCTCACAGATAATGTTCAGTTGCTCGTCACTGACCGCTGCCGTCGCCGACTCGGTCAGCTTGTCGTCCAACCAGTTGGTCATGTAGGTCAGTCCATTGAGATCGATTTGTAGGCGTGTGCGCGCTGTTGGCTCCAGTGCGGTGAGCAGGAACAACAGTTTCATATCATAGTACTCCAGGGTGCTCGGATAGCGTGTCGCACAGGAGGTGGCGCTATTCAAGCGCTTCACAATCGCGTCGAGGCTGTGCTGGCGCAGACACTGGCGCCGGCAGTCTGCACTTTGGTAGACCAAATTGCAGATACATTTCAAGGATTCGGCAATGACATCAGCCTCGCCATCGCTCAGAGTTAATTGGGGCAGCGTTCCGTCGTCGTCGCTGTTGCTGCTGGTGCTGCCATTGATGCGGGCCAGAGATAACAGCGTGCCCAGCTCCTGCTCAATATAGTGCGTCTGCAGGCTGAACTCATCTCGCGTTAGAATGCGCACAGTGTTGAGACATTGGGCGTGCAATGATGATAAACTCTCGTCATCCAGTATACCAAATATGGCCAGCCAGAGATCGTGCCACAGATTGTCCGTGTGAAAGCTATCAAAGACCAGCAAATCTGCATTCTGCGGACAGCCGCCACACAACAAACATTAGTCACAGCTACAAAAGTGTGGGTGGTGCTGGTGGTTTGGTGCCCTTACCTTCGTATTAAACTGGGTAAGTATGTCAGCGATGTGGGCGGTTTCCTTGCGCTCAAGTCGTTTCAGCTGCTCCGCATCCATGATGCTGACTTCAACAATTTGCCAATGCAAATGTTTACTAATTGGATTTGAATATAATTCAATTGTGTTTGCACCTCAATGTCAATAATGGACATGTACTAAAATATACTATGAAAAATGGCATAAAATACTAACAAAGAGTGGTGACTTTTTTATCAGTATGACCGCAAAGGCTAGAAGTGCAAAAATACCTAAAAAGAATACTGAAATATTTGGTCGGTAAAAAAAGGCGGTTAATATTTAAATTGTTCACATTTCGTTTTTGTTAAACTAAAATGCGGTGAAATTTACATTTTACTGTACATACATATAAATAAAGAATATATTTTATTACAAAAAATACATATTCAGTGTATACATTATTTATGCGTAGTGTATGTATTCTTTTGATTGTGTAAAAATATAAATATATGTTTTTTGTAGAAAATAATACGTAAGTAATATATATATATATATATATATATATATATATATATAAAGTTACCATTTCTGTTGGCTTACGCTTTTTTGATTCAACTTATTTTTGTATTGTTTTGTTTTTTCTTAAATTTTTATAGTTTTCGTAATTACATATTATAGTAGTCGAGAAATTCGACGGATCTACGACGACTATAGCAGATTGGATCCAATCTGACTGGCTTCCACTTCTTCTTCTTCTACAAAAATATGCATAAATGCAGAAAAAAAAAATATTTGAAAAGGGAAAAGAAAGAAAAAAAATAATAAACAATTAGAAATAAATGCTTATTAACCATACGCACATACACAGGTAATATTGTAATATTTGAAAAAAAAAAAATAAAGATGGAAATTTAATGCAAACAAAAACAATTAAAATAAATTATGATTCAAAAAATTAAAAGTTTGCACTGTTAAATTTTAATTTGCAGAAACCAAAGTATTTGTCGTATACCTCACATGCATGCATATGTATGTATGTATGGCTGTATGAATACATATATGTATGTCTGAAAGCATGTATGTATATATATGAGCAAATCGAATATGTTTAGGCCATTTAACTGGCACAGTCTTATTTATGTATAAATAAATATATGTATATGTGTGTGTGTAGGTGATGGAACTGTCACCAGGTAAAACACATGCACCTGCATGCACGCATGCATGCATATGAAGCTCCCGACCGTATAGGCAATGATAGTTACATACATACATAACAGGAATATGTGTTGAGATTACATAAAGCAAAATAATATCAGAATACATTAATATAGGTATATCGGTATATATAAATTATAAATATATATGTGTAAATAGAAAACGTTTTAGTTGGGAATGCGTTTGAAAGCCTTGCATCATGCATTTGTTTTTTGTATCTTTCCACTGGTTACTTGGTCACTGGGCAGGCGCTTGAGCATTGTCTTTTTTTCAGTTTCGTATCACTAGGAATGAGATTACGTTTTGTGTAGAGCAACAGCGGTTTAAATGTTTCTCTCTCTGTATGTGTGTGTGTGTAAGTATATATGTATGTGTGTGTGTGTGTGTGTGTCTGTGCGTACCAAGTACCAAGAAATTTCACACCGGATATAGCTGGAATCAATCGGTGATTGGACGAACGGACCAAGCGCAACACAATGATCGTATTGCGTGTAATGAGAAATATATGTATATATGAAGTTATAATATAATAGGTAGTAGGCAATAGGAATAGCAGAGCAGCTCACTCACACAGGCGCACACGCAGACGCACATATACATAAACACACACGCACACGCACAGGCACACTACTACTACTACAACAACGGCAACAACAACAACATTAACAACAATTAATTGAAGCAGAACTAAACTGTTGCACTGGCTGGAGGCAGTGGAGCGGCTGCCGGTATAACATTCGGTATGGCAACTACACAAGCGCCAGCACGTGGAAACGACATGGGCGCCAGCTCATTCCAGCCATTGCGCACCGGATCATATTCCTCGACGGTCTTCAAGGCATGATTGCCATCATAGCCGCCGACGACAATCAAACGATCGCCAAGCAGAGCACAGCCGATCGCATCGCGTCCCAGAGCCAGCGAACAAATCTGTTTCGATATTAGAAGTAAAAACAGTTAGAGAAACAGTCTATATAAGCCTAATCAATGTGGACTTTATGCCAAAGGATCTTACCAGTGTCCAGGTATCGTTGGCCGGATCGTAACGCTCGACGGTTTCGGTGCGGCAGACCATGGGATTGCTGGCCGGGCAGTCGTGACCTCCGAGTGCATAGAGATACCCATTTGCGACAGTCACCTGCAGTAAGGAATACAGATTAGAACAATTACGACAGATTGCCAATGGAGGATGCTTACGCCAACGCCACCGCGTCGTCGATTCATTGGGGCGAGTAGTGTCCATTTGTTTGTGTGCGGATCGTAGCATTCGATGGAGCGATGGCAAACGGAGCCATCGCGTCCGCCCACTGCATAGAGACGACCGCCCAGCACCGCAACGCCAGCTGTTGAACGCATCGATGACATGGGTGCCACATAGCTCCAGGTACGGGCACTTGGATCCCAGCTGTTTAAATATATCGATTACATTTCAGTTCATTTGCAATTGGCAATGAGAGGAATATCAGCTTACCGTTCGACCGTATTGAGATAGCTCCAGCCATCGTGTCCCCCCACCGCATAGAGCGGACCCTCGAGCACGGCCACACCCAGGCCATGACGTGGCGTTGTCATTGGATTCAGTGGCACCCAGGCCATTGTGTTTAAGTCGAGGCTCTCCACGGTATTCAAGGTCTTCAGACCGTCGCGTCCGCCCACCAAAATCAGCTTGTCCTCCATGACAGCGGCACCAAACTGCAGACGACGTCCGGTCATGTGCTTCCAGGGCGTCCACTTATCCAGACGGGGGCAGTAACTTTCGATTGTGATGGCGCCCTTGTGCGCATCCATGCCGCCCACAGCCAGGAGTCGGCCGACTGTCGATTTGCGGGGAGTTGTGCGTTCGGTGGCGATGCGTGAGCGCCGCTCGGGCATTAGGTGCCATTTTAGGGCCTCCATCACAAGCTGTTGGCACTCATTAGTGGTGCATACGTTCTCCACGTGATCCATTATGAAGACTGGCTGCAGCAGTGGGAGGCGCACCAGAGCCAGCAACTCGCCAATGTACTGCTCACGGTTGGGGGCATCGTGGCGCACCCACGACATCAGGCTGTGGAAGACATCTTGCTCGGAGGGCACATTGAGATCATTGCTGCACAGCAGCTTGCCTAGTTGATCGGCGTTCAGCTGGAAGAACTCTTGATTTTGGCACACCTGCATGAAGTACTGGCAGGTATACGCCTGGGCCAGCCGCAACAAAGCCGTGCAGCTCTGTTGCTCTGCAAAGAACGCAAATCCCAGGCAGTTGGATGGATGCAGCTGGCGGGCCAAAAAGTTGCAGCAGGCCGTGACCACAGAGTTCAGCTGCAGCAGACAGGCCGTGGCGAGCAGCGTTTCCACAGTATCCTCGCGCAGCTCAATATACCCTGTATAGCAATACTGTACAAGCAGCTGCAGTGCATCGCCATGGACCTCGCCCAGGGTCACATCGTGCTCCGTGGTCTCGCGCAGCGAGCCCGTAAACATTGCTGAAAAGTATGCACTCGAAGCGGATAGCACCAAGCGGTGAGCAGGCACCCTATAAAAAAGAATTAGTTTTAATTTATTTGATTAAAACAAATTTATTTCGACTCCGTCAATAACAAATTAATAAAACGAAATCAAATCATCTTCAGATAGCTATCTCATACACAGTGTAAAATCAAAAATCTTCAATGATACAAATTTAATAATATGCAACAAAATCTTCATATTTAACTTGTTTATCATTTGTCTGTAAATTACATGCGCTTTTACCACTGTACAAAGCACATCTCAATCACTCTGCCGCTCTCCTCAATGGCTGCATATTGCTTTCTCTTTCACACTGCCTTCAACAAGATCATCAGCTTGACAGAGAGAGTGAGTGAGAAAGAGCGAGCCTTGGCGAGCATGCAAGAGTGCAATTAGTGTTGTGTTTACTGTTGGAATTGCGTTGCTGCCTTGGGAAACGGGTGTGCGAACGGACACAAAGAACCGACTGACAGTGCAAAAGGAGGAGGAAGAGTGCAGGGTATACGTATGTATATGCCGAATGGTGAATTGCTAATAAGTCAAATTGGTTGCTGGGAATGGACTGAGTGTGTAAAAAATGTCTTTATTTTATTTATTCTTTTTATTTTCTTCGATTTTTGCGCATTTGCAACAACTTTCCATTCTTTGTCTGTTTGGCTTGTTCACTTACCGTTTGCCATCGATGCCAGCGATGAGCACCACATCGCACAGCTGCTGGCTGTCCACATACAGCTGCATGCGCTTCAGTACACTGTCCGCGTGATCGCGACAGCGAAAGAACTCGTCCTGGCTGCCAGCCGAATTGAGGCTAACCAGGCTGTAGTCTCGCGACAGTGATTCCAACGTATTCTCGGCTATCATCGAGATGTGGCCCGATGTTGAGGCAGTCGAATCGCGACTTGGACTCTCCTTTTGGTTCACATTCACAGATGACATTTTTCGTTTGTTGTTGTTGTTATTGTTGTTAGTAAATTGTATTGCAAATTCTGGTAACGGTATGTTAGCTGTCCTTGTTACTTGCGTTTATCGTCCTTCTTAGTGCATGTCAATTTGTTGTGCGTTGCAATTGCAGCAGCAACAGCATCACCATTGGCAATTGCAGCAGCAGCAGTAAATTTGCTAGCTTTCTTTTGTTTACGTTACGTTCGCGTCTTGAAAAGCTAACGTCCGCGTTGCACTGCCTAGTTTGAATGACTGTGAGGCTCCTGCTGTTGTTATGGCGCGTAGTAAGCTGTTGCTTTGTTTAGGTGCACTTGCATTTCTCGTCTCGCACACTTATACATAAAGGCGCAGACGCAGACACACACACACACATGCATGCACATGCACATAGACGCGTACACACATTCGCACACCAACTCCAACTATAACAGAGCTGAGACGTCGCGCTCGTTCGATGTCAACAAACAACTGCAAATTCAATAGCGACGCACGTACGATGGATGTCGCAGTCAGCGTCGCTGCTTCTGCCTCGTCGCGCAGACAAAGAACTTTTACTGCGTCCGGGAATTGAGCACTGCTGCTGCTGTCGCTGTCGCTGCTGCACTGCTTTTGCTTTGCTTTGATTTGCTTTGTTTTTGCCTCGCTCTCTGCTTTGACCAATGGACGATGGCTACTGCTAGCTGCAAATGCAATTACACAGGAAACACACATTCAAAATTAATGTCAATTGCGCACTGAAACTGAGTCCGTGACTAAGCATAATCCGCACACTTACACTTATCAAAAACAACTAACTACAGCTGCCTATTTATGTATTTCATTTGGCAAACAGCGGACCAATAATAACAAGAGCAACAACAATAACAGCGTTTGATGTTTTCATTTTGCTTGCTATCGTCACTAGTTACGGCGTTGCCAGCCAAAGCTCGACTGCCGGAGTTAACTGGACTTTGTCACAGCGTTACCATATATATTAAAATTGATAGCATCGCAAACCCATTCAAACCCAACATTTGATAAACTAAAACTGACGACGCGTCTAATTATAATCGCACTATGATACACACACACACACACACACACTCACTTATCAAACCGTTCTGTCCATCAACTTATTTCAGCTGATTAGCAATAACAGCGTTTACCATTCACATTTTCTTTGTTTCTGCTGGCCAAAGCTTGACTTCTGTTGTTAACCCAGGCCACTTTGAGGGTTTTAATGGCGCTGCCATATCCATAAAAATTTGTTTTTGAGCGCTTTAAAGGAAAAATGCAGTTGAAATTTGTTTGCTCGGAGTATAATTTTCATTTATTGGGATTGCTTCTTATATATATTTGCAAGTACTTAAAGGCTTATTTTATGGTTTGCGAAATTGGCTGAGGCAGACCAACTGTGAACTTGGATAGATTCTCTAAGAACTCAATATACAGGGCATGCTCGCGAGCAGTTGCCATGTCCGAAAGCTTTCTAGCAAACTCATGGGTAATGCCCTTCTCTTCAAGCATTTCCAGAATCATGGTTTGCAAATTGTCATCAATTAGTGATGCATCAATGGTAAAACAGCTATCGTTCCAACCGTGATTGTATAGCGATAGGTCCTGTATCTCAAATACTTCGTTCTCTTGAGGTTGCTGATCCAACGACTCCGGCTCCACGTCATCAAAAGCGCCTGGCTTGAATACACAAAATATGGAGAGCAGCAGATCATTCCTTCTAATGAGCACCTCAAATTTGGGTACACTACGAACAGGAGTCAGATCACCAGTTTCATCATTGCGACGCGGCACACTTTTGCTAACATTGAAGAATATGTTGATCCGTTCGTGCGGCGACTCTCTGATAAGCTCCACCTTGGAACCAGAAAAATGACCTGTGAAATCGTCTATCATGTATGGCGGCTCCAATTGCAATTGGACACGGCGTTCCTCCAGTATTTCGCCTGTTACAAACTCAACCAAATTACGCTGTGTTGGGGTTAAGCCAATTGGCGTTGCTGCTGCCTGTTTTTCCTCTATTGGCAATGGCTTCTTTAAGGCTTCACCCTTCAAATTTTGGAACTGAAATGCACTTATCGAAATGGGGCGTTGGAATTTGGCGATGCGACAATTGGCCAACAGGCTTTGTCCCAAACGAAATACCTTGAGAGAATTCGACATTTTTGGAAAATAAAAAAAAACAGACGAAAAATTATATTTTCTTTAGGATTATGTGTACGAAAAAAAAAAACTTTTTTCAGATAAGCCAGAAAATTTTGTAATGCTACAAGGCTAGCAAGTCAACGAATGATCTGGATATTAGGTACACCCAGAGCTCGACTGAATTTGATATAAAACTCCAGGCTTGCTTAGGAATTTGCTAAAACACACATTTGCGATTGTGAGTACGATTATTTGAACTTTTTTAATTTCTGTGTATCGATCATTATTCAGTTTTCAGTTTCCAGTTTTCAGTTTTCAGTATTCCACTCTTCTTTGTTTCTTTCATTGTGTCTACATGTGAGCGAGTGTTAAGGCCAGAATGTGAGTGTTAAGGCACGCACGCACCCACACATGGTGTATGAAAGTTGTGGAGCGACAGAGTGGGAAGTGGGAAGCGAGTTGATACAACAATTACAAACATACATACATACATATACATATACATGTATATAATATACAAATAAATAACGCGTATGTGTGCGAAAAGTGCGTGTGCATGTGAAATAAAGGAATGCTAATTAGTTGGGCGATGTATTGCGTTTCGGCGTCGATGGCGGCAAGTCCATTGTCTTGCACACCCAGCCCGATATATCAACATCCTCCGCCTCCGCTTTACGTATCCATGGATGGCTCTGACAATGGCAATGTAAAGAAGAATTTTTTATTAATAGTAATAACAACAACAACATTATGCGTGAAAATAAACTTTGTCTCACCAGCAACGTCTTGAGATCGGCCCGCTCATCTGGTTGCTTTTTGAGGCATATGTCGACAAAGTCCTTGAACTCATTGGAGAATATCTTGTGTTCCAGCTTAGGCGGCGGCTCGTTAACAATATAATCGAGAAGCTCAAAGATTGCCATTACTTTTGGCTCAATTACCGTTGGGTTGCCATCGTCAGCATTATCGGCGAATATGGCCTCCAGCGTGGCGCTGTCCGGCGGAGGTATTGGATACATGCCGATAGCCATTTCAACGAGGGAAAGGCCAAGGGACCAAATGTCCGACTGAACCGAATAGTGTGTGCCCTGAAGTCGCTCAGGCTGCAATGATAACAATTAGATTTGTGTTTAATACAAGTTTTACTTATTATTTCAATTCTACTTACCGACATATAGCTGCGCGTGCCCACAAATGAGTTGGCCATCGAATCGATTAGTTGTCCCGAAACGCCGAAATCACAGATTTTGATCTCGCCGCTGCTATTGACGAGTATGTTGCTTGGCTTTACATCCCGATGGATAATTGCATGCTTGTCCCGCAGATAGCTGAGGCCCTTCAGCACCGCCAAGGTGATGCGTCCGAGTATTGATTCAGGTATGCGGCCGGCCCGTTTCAATATGAGATCAAGAGAGCCGCCGTCCATGTACTCCATGCAAATACTTATCTCGCCATCGCTGTAGAAGGCTCCATAAAATCCAACTATGTGCGGGAAATTGCATTCGTGGAGCACTTTTAGTTCGCGCAGTATTTGTTTTTTAATCGCCGGCTTCACCTCCAGATGGATCAATTTCCTGGCCATTATCAAATGTGTGAGGGTGTGGCGCACTTTCATAACAACGCCACCATTTCCAGAACCGAGTTCGCCCAGCTTCTCTAGATCCTCCTCGGAGAGTTCGCCGATCTTTTCCTTTTGGCTGAGGAACACCTTGATTCGTTTGCGTTCCGTGTCGTCCATATCGAGGCCCTCCAGCGTTTCCGTTAATGCGTCGATGCTTGTTTTTGGCTTTCCCAGCAAACTATTTGTACTTTAATTTAACTTTTTAATGAATTTTTGCTGAACAAAACGAAAAGTGCTAACATTTTGGAGAGGGGTATTTTCAATGGCTTAAGGAATCAGAATCAATTTTGCACGCATTTGTATCTATACACACGCAAACATGTACACACGCAAATATACATATGTATGTGTGCATGTAGGCGTTCTTAAGCGTGTTTAATTACTATATGTTCGTAGTGGGTGCGTCATTTTGAGAAGCAATAGCAACATCAATATGAACAACAACACCAACTACAATAAACACAGATCTGTCTCTATGCATTGTGGGCGGGTGGGAGGCATAAAATAAAAAAAATTCAAAATGTATATACACAAAATTTAATATTTACTCTGTTCCCGATGCTGTTTTAAACGGAGGCGTTGGTGCCACCTGTGCGGCAGCAACAGTTGCATCCACATTTACCGGCGGCAGAACTAAATTTAGTTTATTCTTCGACATCTTGGCTGCTCCACAGCAAAAAAAAGTTTCTATCGGTCGTGGTTCACCGACGGTGCAAAGGGTGGGGAAGGTGGGAGGATTTCCGTTTAGCAGCAGTCACCGAGCGATTATGCAAATTGTGTAACTGGCTATATACAGAGAATTGGTATTTGCTTTATAAGGATTCAATATTGTAGTTATAGCCGGAAATTTCGCAAATGCTAATAATAGGGATGTAAGTACCAATAATTAAGCCGATTGTTGCGTCAAATCGATTCATCGCGAAGAGCAATCGATTGCATGCGCTATTCGAGGTACCTAAATGCATGTCGATCAATGTGAATGGCAAAAACAATCTGCAATTTATTGTTGTTTAAAACGGTAAACACAAAACGTGACCTTGCACTTTATTACGCAGTGCGCACGACTTGTGGCAACCAGAAATGAAGGATTCGCTGGTGCCATCTAATGGCGCCATTGACGAGTCAAGGATCAATAGCACCGACTATCAGAAAGATGCGCTACTTGGTTATGTGCTCAACCTGCAGGATGAACAGCTGGACAGCGCTGTGATGCAGCTGCCGGGTGTAGCAGAGGAACAGAATCATATTAATAAGAGTGATGGCGACTATCACCAATTGTCGCTCAACTGCATTGATTTATTGCCCGCTGATGCGCCGTCATCGGAATTCTCTGAATGCTATCAATTCGATGCAGACGCCGCTGCCGCTGCCTCCGAGTTGGTTAACGTAGCTAACAAGGACTGCGACTCATTGGCTAAATTGGCCTACAATCTATATCGGTTGGCAAAGGACGATCACATCGTTATCGACCGGTAAATGAGGTTTCTTTCATGCTTATCCGAGTTTAATGTATCTCTTGAACTTCCGCAGTAAGCGAAACGAGGTCGTCCGGACGGATGCCATGACTAACCAAAAGACCATCTATCGTTGCATGGATCCCGTTGGCATGGGCATGCAGCCGGCTAGTAACAGTCGTTCCACGGCGATATCTACGTCAACATCCACCAAAGCAAACGGCTCACGAAAACGCAGGGCTCCAACTGTTGCAGCAACCTCGAAAAGAACGACAGCGATTGCTGCGCCGAGTGGAGCTACAAGTAGTACTGTGAGCGAACCAACTCCTGCTGCAGATGCAGATTCAATTTTGCGCACGCGATCTGGGCGCATAATTCGTGCAGCCTTGCCTCAGCCGGCCACAGCAGGCACAGGAGAAACGTTGGATTTGCTTGTGGCCGATTTGCGTGACAGAGATTATCGTGCACCAGTTACAGCGGTTGCTGCACCGTCTATGGCAACAGTTGACTTTTCGGTGCCCAAGGAGCGTGCCGTGCCACAGAGCGCAATTTGTCCGGGCTGCAATAAGATATTTCTGGGTCGTCGCTTGCAGCGTCATTACGTCAAGTATCCCGACCATATGCCCAGTGTGATCGCTCATCAGGAACAGCAACATCAGCAGCAGCAGCAGCAAGAGCAACAGCAACAGCAACAGCAGCAGCAACAGCAGCAGCAGCAGCAGCAGCAGCAGCAGCAGCGGCAGCAGCAACAGCTGCAGCAGCAGCAGCAGGAGCAGGAGCAGCAGCAACAGCAACAGCAGCAGTTGCAGCTACAACAGCAGCAACTACAACAGCAGCAACTACACCAACAGCAACAATTGTCGCAAAGCAATGTGCCCACACTGTTCGGTCTTTTGACCGGTCAGCTGCAGAGACACGCCCATCTCAGCGAGGAGCAACGTGCCGATCTCTTCCTGCATGAGCTGAACGACTTTGTAGAGCAGCTGCAGTTGCGCAGCACTCGACTCATCCGGAACACGTCGGGCTCGCACTTTGTGAACGCGCGCATAGCACGTGTGCTGGGCATACCCGAGGGTCAGTATGCGCTGGATATGTCGGCAATGGAATCGGCGCAGGCGCCCACACCGGAGCCGGAGACGCATGTGAGCGCTGTGGCCAGTGCACGCAATCTGGTCGAATATCCAGGGCTCAGCATGTCCTTAGATGATACGCTGACCGACGAGGCGGCTCAACGATTGAATTTGTCCGCTGGCGGCAAATTGTTGCCCCCGTCCGAGGAGAGTCTGTTGCGTAACGTTGGCGATGATCTGATGCCGCCCCCGGTGGCCGTGGCCCCACCCGCCGTCGGCCATGTGGCTGGTGCAATGCTGCCGCACTATGATCATGCCAGCGACAATGCCGTCGAGGCGCTCAGCATGAAAGAGACGCCCAATGCGGCTATATTGGATCTCAATGTGGACTTCTTTCAATTCAACAACAATTAGTCAAGCGCAAATATATATGCCTATATATTCGCGAATGACTTTATTTTAACATATAGTATTTAGAGACTTGTCTGAATGTGAATAGCATAAACAATTAGATATAAAGTGAATCTTTGCATGAAATGTACCTCAAATCTCTAAACTCTAGAGAGCAAATATTAGACTCAAGGAAAAGTTTGTGTAATCTAGCAAATGACTAAACAATTGTGAGAAGCTTTATGGAAACCCTTATGAAAACTTCTATGAAGATTGTATTGTATATAAATATAGAAATATTTTGAAGACAACATAGCTGAAACTTATATATGAACATATATAATATATATGTATTTATATATAGCTAGCAGATCTGTAAGGTCTGTTCTATAAGATTTCGATGTCGATTTCGATTTCTATTTTTCGTGTTAATAAACAATTAGTTACACGCTAAATATAGAAGTGTAGAAACAGACTCGAACAGTTTACAATTTATTTGATTTCTGGCCATATTTTCGCACTACATTATTGGCTTGCCAATCCAAGTCCCAATTCAAATCCAAACGAATCTCGAGCTGCGGTAAATTATGTCGTTGCCTTGCCTTTGAGTTGTTAATATTTGTTTTCTTTTGTTTTAAGTTTTGCGCTCTAGTTTTTAGTATGCCTCTTTAATTTTTTTTTGTTATTGTAGCTGTTATTGTTTATATTGTGTACTCGTATTTTATGCGCTCAGCTATTTTGGGAGCAGCAGCAGCAGTAGCAGCAGCTTGTGGCTGTGGTTATCTGTGGGACATGGAGAGGCGACTGCATGAGCTGCCTGCTGCAACTTCTATCGACTCCAATGGCAAACACTCTCGGCTCCTTCCCCACCCCCGCCCGTTGGGCGTATGCATTAAGCGGCATTTGCCGTGGCTGCAACCAGTGCCAATTCAATTTGGCTATTTGGCGCTGGCCATATTTGCCAAGGGTCAATATGATTAGGGCTGATGAGCGGCGATTGGATCGAAGTGTTTGATGAGCCACCTATAAATGGAGCTTGCGTGCCGAGCCGTGCAGTTAGTTGCAACATGAGATTCCAAGGGGATAGCAAAGTGCAACGCTTCCACCTGGCGGCCAACAGGCAGCAGCGCAATCAGATATGCAGTCACAAGTTCACTCACAGTCACAGTGATGACTCCCTGGATGAGGAGCAGACCATGTGCAGCCGCGAGGCAGCCGAGAAGAGCGTTAAGTATTATCTAAAGAACAGCTCACTGCACGGCCTCAAGTATATAGCCGAGGAGAGCATTACCATACCAGAGCGGTAAGTTATAAGGATTATCCTCTAGTTTAAATCTAAATATATGTAGATAGCAAGAGAGCGTAACTAGAAATTTTCGATCGAGTCAAAGTAGTTCAGATCATCAATTAGAGTGAGAGAATTATATAGCAGTTGAATGAGCGAGGAAGGCAGAGAAAGAGAGTGAGAGGGAACAGATGAGATGAGTGAGTGAGTGAGTAAGTTTCTTACTTAAGGGAAAGAGAGTGATGGATTGCAGATGAGATATGCAGAAAGATATTGGAAAAAAGAGAGAGAGACAGAGATAGTGATCGATAAAATGACAGACGGATATATAGTGAATAAGAGAGAGAGAGAGGCAGTCGGAGGAAAAGAGAGAGAGAGAGTGCGAAAGAGCAGAGAGAGTGAGGAAGGAAGAGAGGTAGAGAGAGTGATATATGGCGAGATAGAGGAAGAGAGAGTAAGAATGATATAGTGTGTGCCAGGAAAGGTGAGAAAGGGTGAGTGTATATTAGATAGATAGAGAAATTAAGAGAGAGGGAGAGAGAGAGAGAGAGAGAGAGAGAGAGAGAGAGTACGAGCGAGAGAGTATAAAATTTCAGTAAAGTCTTGAGCAGATGAAATCATGATATATACACATGCATATGTGTATGTATATATATGTTAGCAAAATATATTATCAATAAACGATGTCAGCGTATTCTTTGGCATATCCTTCGTGCTGGTGGTCATTCTGTCGGGCTTCTTCATATCAAACATTTACATCAAATGGAGCGCCTCGCCCATCATCATCTCGACGAGCGCCAAGCAGCAGCTGACGAGCAACATTCCCTTTCCGGCTATAACCATATGTAATCTGAATCAGGCGCTGCGAAGTCGGGTTCAAAGCATCTCCAGGTAAGATATGAGAGGCAGATTGTACTGCTGTAGGAGCTAATAATATGCCAACTCTTCATTTGCCCTCTTCCTTTCCTTTTCTCCTTTAGCACCAGCAAAAACTATTCGTTGCTTATGAATCTGTGCAGCAAGGATTACGATCAGACCATCACGTACATCGGCACCTGGACGTACTTCAAGGCGCTGCTGGTGGAGGTGGCCCAGCCATGCGATGAGATGCTGCTCCATTGCAGCTTCGGCTCACGCAAGGAGATCTGCTCGACGATTTTCAATTCCATTCTGACGGACGACGGACTGTGCTGCACGTTCAATGCGCTCGATCCCATCTATTTGTTTCGCAACTATACGGACGATGTGCGCATCGAGCCGGCGGCAGAGAATTCAATATTCAAGGCCATTGACTGGACTCCAGAATCCGGCTATGCCAAGAATCTGCCGGAGTTCTACTACCCCCGGACATCTGGCGGCACGGGCAGTCGCATGGGACTCACCGTCGTATTGAATGCCTCGATCGCCGAATATTACTGCACCAAGTCCATGGGCAATGGCTTCAAGGTGACTCTTTACAGATATCTCTCTCTTTATCTCTTTATCTCTCTCTCTCTCTTTCTATTTTTATACCCTGAACCCATTGAAAATGGGAAATCAGGGTATAATGGTTTTGTGAAAAGTATGTAACAGGCAGAAGGAATCATCGCAGACCCCATAATGTATATATATTCTTGATCAGGACGACGAGCTGAGTCGATATAGCCCTGTCCGTCTGTCCGTCCGTCCGTCCGTCCGTCCGTCCGTCCGTATGAGCAAAAGGATCTCAGAAGATATAAGAGCTAGAGAGCTGAAATTTGGCATGCATACTCGTGTATACCATAGGCAGTACAAGTTTGCTTTATTTTTTCGATAACTCGCCCGATAACTTTTTTATCGAGAATAATCGAATTTTTGACATTGTTTTTTCAGCCTAATTTGAACACTTTTAGACCTGGAGACTTCAAATTTGCGTTGTATATAAAGTTAATAGATACAAAGAATTTGTAATTTACAGATTTTGGATACCACGCCCCCTTCGCCCCCAATTTGTAAAAAACGTATTTCAAGTACTAGAGACTTGTGCTTTGGAATGTACACACATATTCATCATATGATTACGCTCTAAGAGTTTCATTAAGATCGTATATCTACAAAAGAAATTATTCAACAAATAAATTCTCATATTATTGCCCACACTACAGTGCAGCCCAAGCGCAGCCGCTACTTACTGCGCAGTTAGCAGAGCGTGTGCTTATAAGTGCATGTGTATGTATGTGTGCATAAAAGAAGTCCAGAATTATTAGAATATCAGTTTGGAGGGTTCAGGGTATCTCCCAGTCGAGCAGTCTCGACTGGAGCCTTCTTACTTGTTTATTCCTTGTCTCTAATATTTTTGTCTGTCTTTCTCTTTTCCTCTTTATTTCTTACTTTCTCTCTCTCTATCTCTCTCTCTTTATGTATCCCTTCCCTCCCATATTTTCCTATTGTTAACCCCCCTCGAATCCTCTCATCTACCGCTCTCGTGCTCTCCTTCTACCCCCTCTCTCTCTCTCTCTCTCTTTATCTCTGTCTGCCTTTCCAGGTGCTGGTGCACAATCCCGCCGAGCTGCCCAAGGTGACCAACTATGGATTTGTGGTTAGCGCTGGTCGTGAGGCACGCATACCCATTGAGCCGGTCTACGAGGATGCCACGCCCAGCATACGGTCGATCAAGAAGGCGGTGCGCCGCTGCCTGTTCTCGGATGAGAACGATCTGTCCTATTATCGCACCTACTCCCGCAAGAACTGTGAGCTGGAGTGCGAGGCGAAGCTGCTGCTGCGCGAATGCAGCTGCGTGCTCTACTACCTGCCTCGGATAGATCCGGCTGCCCGTGTCTGTGGGCCCAACGACAACAACTGCACGAATCGGGTGCAGACGGAGATCGAGTCGTCGAAGACGAATCTCTCCTGTGAGAACTGCTGGCCGGGCTGCTTTGAGCTCACCTTCAAGTCGGTCATGACCAGCTCGACGATTGTGGCTGGGCCCAGCTACCAGAATGGCGAACAGCTGCCGGAGCGTCTCTTCAATGCCAGCCAGAATGGCAACGTCAACGACCTAGCCATTCTCCACTTTTACTATCTGAACAACAACTTTCGCAGCACTACCAAGTCCGAAATGTTTGGCTTCACCGAGTTTCTGTGTAAGTCCAGGTCCAGGTCCAGGTTCAGGTTCAGGCTCAAAGCCAGGTCGAGGTCCAGGTCCAGGTTCAGAGCCTGGTCGAGGTCCAGGTTCAGAGCCAGGTTCAGAGCCAGGTCCAGGTGCAGGTCGAGGTCCAAGTTCAGAGCCAGGTCCAGGTCCAGGTCCAGGTCCAGGAACAAGTCCAGGTTCAGGTCCAGGTCCAGGTCCAGGTTCAGGTTCAGATCCAGGTCCAAGTTCAGGTTCAGAGCCAGGTCGATGTCCAGGTCCAGGCTCAGAGCCAGGTCGAGGTCCAAGCTCAGAGCCAGGTCCAGGTCCAGGTCCAGGTACAATTCCAGGTCCAGGTTCAGGTCCAGGTCCAGGTTCAGGTTCAGGTTCAGAGCCAGGTCGAGGTCCAGGTCCAGGTTCAGAGCCAGGTCGAGGTCCAAGTTCAGAGCCAGGTCCAGGTCCAGGTACAAATCCAGGCTCAGGTCCAGGTCCAGGTCCAGGTTCAGGTTCAGATCCAAGTCCAGGTTCAGAGCCAGAGCCAGAGCCAGGTCCAGGTGATCCTCTAGTGCCGCACGATCATGACACATTATTTTGCAGCCAATACGGGTGGCCTGCTCGGCCTGTTCATGGGCTTCAGCATCTTCTCTGTGATCGAGATCGTCTACTATGTGACGATGCGTCCCTTTTGCGCCTCTCGGACGATGCACGAGCGACGACGCCGCCGCCAAGCGGAGCTGCTCTGGTTGACGCCGGTGCGCCAGCGACGACGCCTCCATCTCCAGCTGCAACGCCCGCCGCCGCCATACAGCCAGCTGGGCAAGGCGAGGCCAGGCCCGAAGTTTAAGCAGAGTCTGTGGCAGACGCTGCGTGCCGGCCGCGATCCGATTGTCTATCCCTATTTGGATTAGGATGTTGTTATCTCCACTCTTTATGGGCTCTTCGAGTGCAGCGGACGTGGCCTCAAGCTGAATAAATAAACCAAGGCGCAGCCAGGGGGGGCCAATGAACGTGGCGTCAGCCAAAAGGAGGGGGGAGGGGGGCTCGATGGGGCTGACCGGAAGCGCTGCGCTTCATGCTGAGCATTTCAGGTTGGCTATCAAATGGCGCTAATCGCTAATCGCTAACCGCTAATCGCCACGCGACTTCAATTTCAATTTCAACGACAGCAACAACAAATCACGCAACATTAAAAAAAAAAAAGAAAACAAAGACAAAAAAGTTTCTCTAGGCCAGCAATTTGTTGGCCATTTGACAGCGAGCTCACTAGCTTTGTCATCCGGTTGGTAATTCAATATGAGTGAGCAGAAAACGATTTCTTAAGCCCATCGAACTAGAGCCAGCCTTGAAGCGAAGGGCTTATATACAGTGATTACCATTGGATATTGTCATAATGGGTAATATAATGCGTGGATATCCTCTATCAAGATTGTATACGTTGGGCTGCACGTCAGATGGGACAGAATAAATTCTATTTGCAATTGTCATTGCGCGCTTATGAGAATCGCAGAGTAGGACGACTATCATGACCATACAGAATTCCATTATGAAGGAAGAGCTGTCAGATGATGGAAAAACTTTTTGTTAGGTTAGACTTTGCAGATTATGAATTACAGTAGAATCGGGTTACTCAAGGGACCGTCGTTATGTATGTATGTTATGTATGTACGTTATGTATGTTATGGACATCTCCAAATACAAATATATATCAGACATATATCCCAGATGAGATCTAAATGAAATATCTATAAATGAAATATCATTTATAGATATTTCACTTAGATCTCATCTAAAATATGTAAGACAATTATCCTGATTCCCAGACAAACTCATATGTCTATAGCGACGGTCCCTTAAGCAGCGCTATAACCAGATTCTACTACATATCGAAAATTAGATCGTATAACTTAAAATAAAAATGGGTTCAGGGTATAAAAATACATCCTTTTCATACAATCTATACGATTCCCTGCAGCTGCAAATCTTCGAGCTAATCTAGCTTAAATATTCCAGAAATGCTTATGTCAAAGCTATATAAATATCAAGTGCAATATATAGATCATTTCAAGAAAGAAAAGAAAAAGATTTCTTTGAGCGTATTTCGAGTTCGATATTTTCTGTGCAATTGATTTTGCAGACATTTTTGGCTTTTGGTTTTTGGGCTCTTGTGTGTCAGTTGTAAATTAATGGATAGAAATTTCTGTCTGGCTGATGGGCGTTTAATGGGGGCGTGGCTTCATTGTGGGCCAGCAACGAAAATGGCAACTGGCGTTGGCTAAAAATGTCGCACTGATGTCACATGCTGTTGGCAAAAGTGCGTTTGCTTTGCAGTAACTATGCGAGAGGCACACACACACACACACACACACACACACACACACACACACACACACACACACACATATTGGCAATAAGAAGTTTTATAACCCAGGCGCGTCTACAAGCTCGTTTCTCTGGATGGCAAGTGTCACAAGTTGCGCCCTTCCGTCAATGTCAAGTGGTCCAAGTGGCTCCACTAAAATTCCACTGTTGGGCAGACACAGACACACACACACACACACACACACACATGCACATATGTGTGCACGAGTCGGGGCATAGGCATAGTTATTGCTGGCCAGCTGGAAAATCTCAAATCGCGCCCAGTTTAAGCGTCATAAGCGGCGTATACGCGATCAACGAACACCAGCAACAACAACAGCAACAACAGCAGCAACAGCCCCAGCAACAGCAGGCGGCAGCAGCAGCAAAACTCTGAATGTAAACAAACAAATGCTGTGGCAGCCGTTTGAAGGTGTGCGTGTGTTAGTTGGCCTTTTACACATTTCGTTTTATGTAGTTTTTTGCCCTGCTTTTATATTTTCGTTAGCTGTGATTCATTCACACCACAGCATCCAGCAACAACAACAACAACAACAACGAGATATGTGGTGGCAGAGCTCTGGAATGGACTTTTGACGTGACCAGCCATAGCCACAGCCACAGCCACAGCCACAGCCACGAGACATCCGTCGACGCTTGCCAGATGCTCTACCAAACGCGAGCCTAAAACACAAACACAAAAGACTTTTTAAAAATCAACAAGAAATTGGTTCGCTCGACATTTCAATTGAAAGCAAATGATCAAGCTGAAATATTGACAGCTATGCATATATGTATGTAAAAATAAATATTTAAAATATATATATATATGTGTAAATATATAACCAATTTAAATTATGACGTATTATTATATTTAGTCTTTTCATGTATGCTCGCTCGTTCACACACTGTAGAGAGTATATTGGCTGGGTATCATCTCGCTCATCTCGCTATCCGTTGGTCTGTTTATCTCTCTGACTATGGACAGTGTTTAGATTGTGATCATTACTAAATACTATAAATTATAAGAAGAAGAAAAACGCTCATGGCAAGGTGTTATTGACTCGTTCCTCTATAGTTGGTAAGAAATCGTAGTTTCTGTTGAGCTTCTTCACATCTATATATATATATATATATAAATATATGTTCATAAATATCCATAAAAGGGGCGTGGCGAAACTGCAATATTTGAGCCGTTCACCTGTATTGTGAGCTCAGGTGTATTAGTCTACGATTGGAATAAAATTTTATTTTTTATAAATTTTAATTTAATAATTTTTTTGTAATGAAAAATTTAATTGGAAAATATTATTAACAACATTTTATAAAAATAATTTATTTCATATATTTATTTTTATATATTTCAAAATTTTCTTTTTAGTTTTATTATTAATAGTTGATTGTTATTATAAATAAAAAATTTATTTTTGGATTTTCCTAGAAATTTTCTGTTTTTTTTTAGACAAAAAAAAAAAAAAAAAAAAAATATAATAATAATAAATTTATTTATAAATTATTATATAGAATATATATGATAATATATGAGATATAAAAATGATCAGATGTTAAGTTATAAAAAGTAAAATAATAAATAAAATATGCGTGCAGTAAAAATTCTTAACTTAATGGTAAATTATATATAAGGAAAATAAAATATATTTGTACTGTAATTTGTAATTTTAGTATTAAAAATTTTAAAACTCTTAAATTTAGTACTGAGAAAATAAAAATTGAAACAACTGTTAAAACTAATAAAATTGAAAAAGATTATTGAGCTCTAAACTTTTTGTTTTAATTTCATAAAGTTAAGAATTAAACTTATTAGTTATGCATATTTGACTATAAATGGGAAATTCCAATAAAAATTTGTTTCATAAAATGAACAAAAATTTAAGATAAGCTTTTTTTTTTTTGTTTTTTTTTAGTAAATTTTGAAATAAAACAACAATAAGCAACAATTATAATCAACAAGTGTGGACATTACGTATATGCCAAATATCATCCATATATAGCCCATTGAAATCCAATTGAAATCGTTGTTAATATTTGTTTATGTTGGCTTTCTTTGAATTTCTATTTGACGTAGGTATACAAATAAATAAACATATATTTAAATGTATATTTATAATTATATATGTATTATATACATATATGTATACATATATTGTAATGCATTTAAAAAGATATTACGCATACGCCATGTAGCGCACATTTCGATTGCTGTTAACTTTTGTTTAGGTTCTTTGATTTGTTTGACTGTTTTCAATGTGAGCACAATGACATGCATTGCCAACTTAGTGTGTGTGTGTGTGTGTATGTGTATGGGTGTCTGTGTGTTTCATTGCCTGCACAAATACACACACACACACACCAACACACACATAACTCAGCTCATGAGCAAAGCGCTGCGGCATTTAATTTCCTTCTTTTATTCTTTTTTGTTTTTGGTATGTTTATGCTAAGCAATATCAAGAGCAGCAACAACAACAACAACATCTAGATAGATCAGCCACGTGGGTGTGAGCATGTGTGTGTGTGTGTGTGTGTTTAAATGGGAGTAGTCATTGCTGCTGGCACCGCCGCCGCCGCCGTTTCGGTGGTCTCTGAGCATCCTCAGCGGAAATGGTTATTCAGTCAGAGATGGAACGTCGTGCGCCGAGCTGTGAATTCGCTTGATTCGACCCAAAAATAAAACCCAACCGTAACTAGCAGTTACTGCAATTGCACCTGTTCACGCGTCCAGCAGAGCGCGCGTGTGTGTTTTAATATTTCCTATAAATTTTTGCTCTACCCAGCTAAACAGCGCAGCGTGTTACCCAACGGGCATATTGGTTTTCGCGTGTGCTCGATTTGTTTTGCCTTTTTCCTTTTTTTGTTTTGCTGTTTTTTTTTTCTGTTTTTCTTTTGCGCTGCAACACTTGCCACACGGTTAGCGGGAAATTCGGTGCACAGCTGGCGCGAAAATTCATTGGCAATTTGCAACAAGTGCAGCCAGCTCCAGCTAATACGCACAGCGTCTAGCAAATTCATTGGCCGGAACAATAACAACAACAGAGCCAAGCAAATGCATTCCACGGCATGCGGCGTCGGCGCCTCAGCCACCAATCTCGCCTCGCTGCAAACGTAAGTCATTTATCATAATATTTCTTTCTCCGATTTCTATATACATAGCTCTCTCTGCAGAGCTCTCGAGTGAGAGACGTAGCAGGAGTTTGTTTGCATATAAGCGATATGTACAATATATAATATACGACTTATATAATAAGTATTGATAGAAATATTAGTGGTATATCTTAAGTTTCGTTAAAATGGTATAGTTTAATATAGCAGTCATATATACATATAGACTATATGAATGTATACAGTAGAGTCCGGCTATAACGTCGCTTAAGCGACCGTCCGGGTATCACCGGAAGACTCTATAACCATATACGTTTATCTGGGGAACGCTATAAAGGGAGCCATTGTAGCCGTATTCTACTGTATATGAAGTGCTTTACGGAGCTACACAAATATTTCTTATTAAATGGGGATTACTATGAAGGAAACTTCAAGGACAGTCAATTTTAAATATTTGTAAATACATAGTTTCTTTTTAAAACTTTTATTTCATTTGGAATCTGCTCTGCCGT